AGGCACAGCCACGAGGGCGGTGTCTGAAGTCCCGGCTGCGGGAGGCGGGGTCCCAGGCCGCCAGCGTTCCGGGAAGCCCAAGTGTGCGAGAACCCGAACTCCAGCTCCCAGGCCCCGGCCGGGGCGGCCCACGGGAATCCCACCCCCAGGGAAGCCGCGCTCACCTCGGGAGGGTCTCACTCCATGGCCCCCGCCGGGTTCCGGCCTCCGGTCGGGAATTCCCGCCTCCCCCCAGCGCTCTGCTCACCCTCCACCCCCACAGCCGCCGCGTACCAGCCCCCGCCGCCAATGACTGCTCCGGGGGGGCGGGACCAGGCCGGGAGTGACGGGTCTAGGGCCAATCAGAGACGGGCAGTGGGAGCTGCGGGGAGGCGGAGACCAGGGGGAAATGTGCGGGAGCCTGGGAAGGAGCTGGAGGGAAGGTCGAGGGGCTGAGGGTCCGGGCTGCTGCGCTGGAGTTCTGGTGCGCGGAAGCCGGCTGCTCGGCAGAGGCTTTGATCTTTTGGACGTTTTAAAAGAGAGTGCTAGAAACCTCGCGGACATGGCTGATGTCCCATACGCGCCTCGCAGGCCCTGGTCCTCCGCCTTACTCCTCTGAGTATGACTGCCTGGTCTTGGACCCCTTCGGGGCACCCTGGCGCCAAAGGGGAAGCCTTACCTTCCTAGTGTGGCGGGCAGTTAGACGTGAGCAGAGCAGGAGGATGGGCCAGGTACAGAGGGTCACCAGGGCCCAACCCTGTTTGCTCAGTGGATAGAGCGTTGGCCCAGACTGAAGGGTCCTGGGTTCGATTCCAGCCAAGGGCACGAACCTCAGTTGCAGGCTAGATCCCCCGCTCCCCCTGCCCTAACCAAGCGGGAGGGAACCAATCCATGTCTCTCACACCCGATGCCCCCCCCCCTCCTTTACAGTCTCTCTAAAAATCAATGCAAAAATATCCTGGGGTGAGGATTAAGACAAAAGGTCACCAGGATGGAAAGCTCCAGGTGCCTAGCAATTGTGTAGGGTGGACCTCCCCTCGTGACTTTCCCTTCCCTAGCATATCACTGGTCCTGCGGTATGGATCCCTTGACCTTTCCTCCCTAGAGATAACATCTGGGCCTCAGTTGTATTTCAGCTCTAGGTCCAGATAAGCCAGCGGTTCTCAACCTGTGGGGTTGCCTAAGACCATCCTGCATATCAGATATTTACATTACGATTCATAACAGTAGCAACATTACAGTTATGAAGTAGCAACGAAAATAATTTTATGGTTGGGTCACAACATGAGGAACTGTATTTAAAGGGCCAGAAGGTTGAGAACCACTGAATAAGCAACAAAACTAGCCACAGGGGACATCAGGCCCAGCTACATTGAGTAATGACTCCCCCCCCCCTTGCTGGCCAATCAATCAGTGGAGACCACAACCCTGAAAGGACACACCTGGAAAACTACTGAATATTTTATTAAGATCTTTCCCTGGGACCACCCCTAAAATCTCCTTCCTTAAGACCCGCAGGATGGAGGACTGTGCACACACTCTCCCTCCCCGGAACATGCCCATGACTTTCCCTTTCCAGCCCCTTCTTCATCCCCCCAAGCTTCCTCACTCCCAAGCTCAAGGGCCCTAACTTTACCTCTAGAACTTGTTTGCTAAATCCATTTCTTCTAGGAATTACTTTTTCTACCTCTGTAATTTACCCAAATGTTCCCTTGCAGTTTGGGTCTTGCTATATCCTCTTGGCCCACATCCTTGTGCTATCAGAATCCTCTTCTAGCCTCATGAGAGAGTAGGGGACAAAGCAAAATAAAGAAGGGGCTCAGCCTATTCGTCTTTGCAAAGGTGAAAAGGCCTCATTGTGTTAGGACTATAGGACAATATAATGGCCATGTGTAAACTTCCTGCCACAGGAGACAAAGGCCAGGAAAAGCTTTCTGGACACCAGGAATCAGACCATATAAGGAACTGAAACTGTCCTAAAAACACCTGAGCACACACCTGCATTCCATCCCCTTCCAAGCCACCGACTCAGCCCCCACGTCCACTGACGACAAAAGTTTCCTGCCAGCGACTACATATAAGGATGAAACTCTAGCTCCTGGGTGCTGCCGTCATCGACCCAATGTCCCCTTGGCTCAGTGCTGTGCAGCCCTTCCCTTTGGATATCCCATCCCTCATCCCCTTTCCCTAAATAAAATCATTTTTTCTTTATCCACCGTCAGAGATGGTTATTTAGCCTGCCTGTGCACACCGTCATGCTCACCTTTCAATGACTGACAGAAGGGACCAAGTGATGCCTTTGGAAATGAAAGCCAGCAACTTCCTTAAGAAAAGGGGGAATGTGGGGACTTCTTTACTATTCAATGCAGCTGGGCCTGATGTCCCCTGTGGCTAGTTTTGTTGCTTATCTGGACCTGGAGCTGAAATACAACTGAGGCCCAGATGTTATCTCTAGGGAGGAAAGGTCAAGGGATCCAAACCGCAATATAAACTCCAGGTACATATATATTGATTTCAGAGAGGAAGGAAGAGGGAGAGAGAGGGAAACATCAATGATGAGAGAATCATTGATCAGCTGCCTCCTGCATGCCCCCTCCTGGAGATTGAGCCCAAAACCCAGGCATGGGCCTTGACTGGGAACTGAACCTTCATCTCCTGGTTCATCGGACAATGTTCAACCATTGAGCA